GATAACAAAATGTCTCCAAGAAAGCAGCCAAGCTCAGAGAGTACCAAGGACCCTTTAAAAAGACAAAAGATGATTCAGAATACTTTTGGACATGGAATAAATTCTATGAATGGATAGAGAAAAGAGGTAGAAATTAGAGAAAGTAAGATTATGAAGGTTAATATTGTATATAGGGAAAGCAAAGAGGTAGATACATATAAATGTACTAATTGATAAAAATCTAGGTAACTTAATGTAAGAAGAAACCTAGATCAATTTTCTTGGTTATACTATTAGTACTGTTATTATACCATTACTATTGCTATCAGTATGTTGAGATTTATTACCAACGTATGTTGGTCGTGTTTTATTTGTAAATAATGCTCTGCCAATGCACTGTTATTCAAAAACGTTTATGAATGTTATTCGAAAACGTTTATAAATGAAAATTTATAAAAATAAATTAAAAGAAAAAAAAATTATATTTACAGGAATTCCAAGTTTCAACCCACTATATATTCAGTCCACGGCTATAGATCATTCAAATAGTCAGCATATTTTAAGAGACATTCCAACCACGTTCAAATTGGAGTTTTCTGTTCATCAGATATTCTGCCCTCATGGTTCAGTTAAGCACGTTGTGTGGTAGCCAGTCCTGATTTTAAATCCTTTCCTAACTTTTACAAGCTCTTTTTAACCAAGTTTCAGCCATTTTTCCTCTTTCCAGCTGTTAGCCAGATTGCTGTGAAGGCAACAAAGAAGGAAAAGGCTGGGGGTATGTTGCTATGAGAACTGATAAATAAACCAGGAAAGATAATGCGATTTTAAATTTCTTTCTAGGAATTACGATCAAGATCAATCAGGCACAAAACGAAAAAGCTTTTCAGAATGTTCATCTTCCTGCCTTCGCATCTCACTTCCTGCTCTTCGCCAAACTCTCTGAGTGATTTTGAATCATACAGCTAAAAAAGAAAATATATCGGACCCTTAAAAGGGACCATACGTAACACTTTCGATCTGCCTTTCTCAATTTCGTGCCCTCAAAAGCTTCAGAAACATTCTTTGAAAGCAGCTGACCGAGAAACCCTTGGACAAGATTTGGGGCAGGAAGATAAGTTCCTCACCTTAAAGATATATTAGTAATTTAGAGTATAGTTTAGTTGATCTTGGCCATCACAATTCTTAAGCCTTAATTGTGCTTTTTGTGACTGTGAGGATAAATTATTGGGGGGGGAAAGGGCTGAAATCATTTGTGCACCTTAGAAAGACCAAGGTATTTAAATGTAATATATGTGTGTAATATATACATACGTGCCATCTGCATCCTGAAAAAAAACAACAACAGCGCAGTGGCGGTTCGTAACTGTTTTTGTGGAAGTGGGAGGTCACTACCAAGAAGGCCCTACGTGATGGAAACAGCTATGAAGGCAGACCTGCTTTCCCGGCTGAGCAGCAGTTCCCAAACAATTTATCTAAGCTAACATATCTGTTTCTCTCAGTTTTCCACTTTGGCAACTTTAAGGTAAGTAAGACTTCAACTCCCAGCATGCTGGTTGGGGAATTCTGGGAGCTGAAGTCCCTGCATCTTAAAAGTTGCCAGGGTTAAAAAAAAAAAAGAATTGGTTTCTACAAAATGGCCTCCTGCTCCACCTCCTCCACCCAATTCTTTCTAACTGAATGTGGCCAGTTATGTCCCAGAATGGCCTTTCCCACTCTGGTGTCCTGCAGATGTGAGAATTGAAGTCCCAAACATCTGGAAGACATCAGCTGGAGCAAGTGGGGGCCAGAGCCGGGTCTTCTGGCTCTCATTTGACTGACCTGTTTAAATCCTGCTTTGCCTTCCGGTTCGTTCAACCTGGGTGCTGCTCTAAATGCTTCTAATTATTTTTGTATCTCAGAAAGAGAATTATTTTGGATTGCTGAGTCAATAAAATTACATTCTGTATATAGTGGACAGCGGTGTGTTTCTTGTGTGCGTGTGTGTGTGTCTTGCCACAAGGAGGCGTGCTTCACTAAATGGACAAGAAAGTTTAGTTTAGTTTTGGTTTACTTTATTGTCCTTGCACACCTCATACAACGAAATCAAACGCCATCTTCAGTGCGCATCGTGACCCTGAAAAATAAACACAAACACACATCCTTCACCCTCCACGCATTGAACCGAAAACCCACAATACCGCACCAACACTGCACTGTTGCAGCAATCTTAGTCACCAGTTCAGCACACAAGACCACGAAGGGTTGGCGAAACAGGTTTATTTGTACAAAGGTTCAGAGCATTAACATGTCAAATTCTGAACGCCGGGTTACTCCCGAGGTGTGACTTTTATTCAGCTTACAAACCCCAGACTCACCTAGTTACTGTTATCTGGCTATACCGTGACAGAAAAGGAGTAGTTTTCATACGGCTCTCTTGCTACATTTTCCATATATGCTATTATCTTACACCATCGGTTACTTCTGGTAGCCACCTCTTGCAATACATTTCAGAAAATACCTAGCACATAGGTCACGTTACATGCATAGGTCAGGTTACGTGTTATATTCAGCAAGTCCCTGTATTTTCTAAAGTTTGCAACATATACGTCAAATAACTTCTGCTAATAGTATTAATACCTTTTTGGTATTTTCTCACACTGCTTCTGCACTATACAGTAGAATACAGTAGAGATATTGGCCTGGGATAGAAGCTGTTTTTCAGCCTATTTGTCCTTGTTTTTATTATCCTTGTTTTATTCTGTATTATCATTGTTTTTATTATCCTGCCCGATGGTAATAGTTCAAAAAAAAGGATGAGATGGATCTTTGAGAATGTTTTGTACTTTCCTAAGGAAGCTGTTTTTCAGCCTATTTTGTCCTTGTTTTTAATAAAAGTCCAGTTACCCTCCTGAAAAAAAACACCTTTGGGTCAACCTTGACCTGGATGACTGAGAATCTCTACAGACTTTTAGCTATATAATTGGGGGTGAACACACCTTTGAATGGTGTGAGAGTAGGAATGGATTTCCAGAGGGAAAAAATTGCAAACCACAGTAACCAGGAAAACTACTCAGGTGACCCTGAGGACACAGATAAACCTCCAAGTGGCCTCAGTGACCCTCTAAAAGGACGCAAATGACCGGCTGTCTGCAAGGAATGCAACTCCTGTCAGAGTTGAAGAAGCTTCTTGGAGGAGAAGCGAAACCTCTTCAAAGAAAAAGACAAGAAAGTCCACTTGCCTCGTGAAAAAAAGCACCTCTGGGACAATCAGAACTGAAAACCTCTGCAGACTTTTGCTCCGATGCGAGTTAACCTGCGTTAATGATGGGTGGAGATTCTGAAGAGTTCAAATACACGCAACTCCTTAAGGGGCGTGAAACAAAACTAAGGTGTCACCAGGAGAAAGGGCCCCCTTAGGCTCCTACAAATTGTTTATAAGCTACCGAGTGAAAATTGGCCCCGAGTGAAACATGCAGCCATGGGCTCCAATATTTTTCTCTGTGGGGAAAATCCAATCGTCTCATTACGTTACTTGGACAATTTAATTGTTTCTTGAAAATGCCAAGGATGGTGAGAATCTCTGTATATCCAAAGGTTGAGAGAAAGCATGGAGGACAACGATGGAGACATTTCTTACCATTCTGAGGCGGACAATAAATGAAAGTTATAACCCAAGTTGTAAAACTGACCCAGTTGTTGAGTGAGTCACTGCAGTTGTTAAGTTAGCAACACGGTCGTTGAGTGAATCTGGCTTCCCCATTGATTTTGCTTGTCAGAAGGTCGCAAAAGGGGATCACAGGACCCCAGGACTCTACAACCGTCATAAATATGAGTCAGTTGCCAAGGGTCTGAATTTTGACTATGCGATCATGGGGGAAATGGGTCATTCAGTTCCGTTGTAACTTCAACCGGTCACTAAATGAACTGTTGTAAGTCGTGGACTACCTGTATCTAGTCAGGATTGAGATCATGGTATGGGATGGAGACAATATTGATTGTTGGGGCCGGGTGGGGTTATTGTTTTATTATTTTTCTTTTTTTCTTACTATTTTTTCTTTCTTTCATATGTCCTTATAAGGCGCCTTGAGACCTCCTTCTTCTTCCCCTCCTCCTGCTTCTCCTTTTTCCTTCCTCCTCCTCCTTCCCTCCTTCCTCTTCCTTCTTTTTCCTTCCTCTTCCTCCTTCCTCTTCCCCTCCTTTTTCTTTCCTCTTGTCCTTTCTCCTCCTCTCTTCCCTTCCTGCTTTTTCCTTCCTCCTCTTTCTCCTCCCTCTTCCTCCTCCTTCGTCCTTTTTTCCTTCTTCTTTCTCCTCCCTCTTCCTCCTCTTCTCCTTCTTCCTCTTTTCCTTCCTCTTCTTTTCTCCTCCCTCTTCCCCTCCTCCTTTCTCCTCCTTCTTCCTCCTCCTTTCCTCCTTCCTC